AAGGAAGGAAGGAAGGAAGGAAGGAAGGAAGGAAGGAAGGAAGAAAGAAAATTAAACAATTTTCTGGGCTCATCAAGTCCCTCTTGGCTGATTCTGGCCTGCTCCCAAATATTCCTTCCCCCAAATCCTTAGTAGATTTAACTTTTCAGTCACTCTTGTCAGACAGAGAAAGGAGGTGGAAAGATTATCAAGGACAGAGTCCTAGCACTGGTTTGTCCAGCAGATGTGGGAACCATTTCACTAGAAAAAAAGAGAGGACTTTAATGTTAACTGTGGTGTGTGATGAGCACACTCCCCGCCTTAAATCGGGCTGCTTCCCAAGGTTTAAAGGTGCCAAAATACCTGTTCCTTTACAGGCAGTAACATACCAAGGCAGACAGAATCCAGCCTTGTTTATTCTGTCCTGAAAGTCTCTCAGGAAACCAAGACAGGGAAAGGAAATCATTATGGGCATGAGAACTAACTGGACATTTGTAGGGGAGCAAGACTGGATACAGGTCCTGATGGCTGTGGCAGTGGGGACTGGAAACAGGGGGCAGGAATGGGGCTTTAGGAACAATCTGGGCCCTGTGGATGAACTTAGTAGGGAAACAGGAGAGTTTTCCATGCCCTCTAGGAGAAACACTCGGGTTTCAAGTCCAGGGTTAAATGGAGAAGGCACACTTTCCAAGTGTGGGCATCTTAGTGGCATAGTGGACAAAATATGCCTCAGACACTTCCGAGCTGTCAAGTAGTCTATCTCCAAGAAGGAGGTATTAATAGTACCTCTCTCATTGCAAGGCTGAAATTAGGTAAAGTGCCGTGAAAATCATAAGCTAAAACCAGGAAAGGGAGCTGAGCTCTGACTAAAAACCTCTCAGTGATTGATTGAGTGGAGTCAGAAGATCAGAATTCAAATCTCTCCTTGAAAGCTTATTGCCTGTGTGACCTTGAGCAAGTCACCTAACCTCTCTGGGCCTCAGTTTCCTCATCCGTAAAATGAGGGGAGTGGGCTAGATGGCTTGTGAAGTCCCTTCTAGCTCTGGATTCATGATCTTCAGGTCCCTAGTAGCAATGAGAACCTTACAAAAAATGTCTGAGTCCCAGAGGATGCTGGGATGGTGATGCTTTCTCTGTGGGATGACCATACCTCCTTCCTCTGGGCTGAGCTCTGAATTCTTCCAAACAAAAGGCAGATGAACTGACTGCTGGGGGGGGGGGGGTACCAGGACTGAAAGCAAGAGGGAGAGAGAAAGCCTTCCCCCAAGGCTATTCCAGAGGCTCAGAGGCACCAAGCCAAAGCCTGGACCTGTGGGCAGTAGTGTAAGCTTTGGCTCCAGCATGCTTTTATTTGGTTTCCCTCACCAGGTTGTACTCCCAGTTAAGACTTGGGGTTGCAGAGTGTGGGGGTGGCCTGTGTTTGCCCAGGGAAAGAGGCTTCTAGGGCTAAGAATAGTACTGCCCAGTTTAGGCACTTCCTCTGCAGAGAAAAAGCAATGGTATTTTGAGTGGTAGGATCTCAGGGCAAGAGTGTTTACTCATGTAAACCCAGAGGCTCCTCCCCCACCAAACCTTAGACTTGTAAAATCTGTAAAATGGGCATAATGACATCTGTAGCACTTACATGGTTGTGATGATGTAGATAAAACATTTTGTAAGGACATTAAAAATGGCAGACACTATTATTTCCAAAAGGTCTTTTTGGAGTTTGAACTACACTGGGCAGAATTCAGGAATCAGCTCTTGCCCCACTTGGTCTCTAGACCCTGCATTTTTGGGAGCTGGGACTATCTTCCTGTTCATGTTTGCCTTCTGCCCAGGGGAGCTGAGATCCAGAACAATCACCTCCTCTGGGCTCTCCTTTCCTGGAGACCTCTTTGAATGATCTAGACGGATTCCTTTATCACAAACACACATGGGAGAGAAACTCCTGGCAAGCCCTTCTTTTCACACAGTGATGGTGGGTTGATCTGAGACTGACTTCATAGAGCCTTTACAATCCCAATCTTTCTTGTTTCTTACTGCCAGTCTGAGAATCTCTCAGGTAAGATTTTCCTTTGACTTTGTAGCCCCAGATTAGGTTTAAGTATTTGTTAAATAGAACACAAGCCAACATACCCCATGCCCACTGCAGATGCTGCTAAAAAACATTTTCATGCTGTAGGGGAACAGAGAAGTCATGGCAGCCAGGAACCAGGACAAAAAAAAAAACCCTTCAAGTGCAAAGGGTTACTCTTCTGATCTTGCTAAGGCAAAATCTGAAATTCTCACCTAGTACTGCATAGTTAGGGACAGACTTTAGTCCTCCTTCCATGCTCCCTTTCCCTATCACCAGCGCACTGAGTCAGATTTTTAAGGTAGACTTTTTCTTTCCACTCTGCCTGTAAAGAATTGAGTTTTGTTGTTTTTTTTTTCTTTTTTTCCTGATCCTTACACTCCTCTGGTCTCCTCTGCTTCTCAAAAGCTGAGCCTCTGGCTCCTATACTTTGCCCAGATTGTTGCAAGGTATAATGGGGGAAAAAAACTAGCACTCTAAAATTGGAATCAGAGAACCTGCTATTTACTGCTTGTGTAACTTTGGGCAAGTTACTTCACATCTCTGAGCCTTGGTTTCCTCATATATAAAATGAGGAGGTTGAACTGGGTGGCCTCTGAGGTCCCTTCCAGTCCCTTCTTATCCCCATTTATATTCCTTTTACACCATCCCTACCACCAACGGATAATCACAGCTGTGAAGCACATCTGTGACAGCTGCTGTGTCCTGGGGTGACAACTCTTTGCTCTGCCTCGTACTGTGGTGGCCAAATCCTGATGCTGCAGGTAGCTTCCCCTGCCAGCTCCCCTGGAGCACTCAGTGGGTCTGAAAGAGAGGGCTGTCTCCTCTATTCTTTAAAAGTTCTATAAAAAAGGAAACTGGACAACTTCTCCAGCTACCAGACCACCCAGGGGCAGTGGAATAGGGGTGGGGTGGGGGAAGCTATAGTACCACTCTCTTGGTTAGGCAGAGCTCGGCATCCCCTAGTGATGGAGAACTGTTTTCCCAATATCACCAATGGTTCTGAAAGCCTGCTGATTATAATTTAGCATCCACAGATAGAGGCCCTCATCTAGGACGATTCTGTCACCCTTCCTGTTTTTGGTCATTGTACTTTGAATACCTTTGGGCTCCAAGGGGTGGTGTGGGTATCTCCCTCCATTCTCCGCCCGGTTCATCGTCTTGTTATTGCTGTTCGACAGGTCAGGCGGAGGCTCGGGCTGCTCACTGAGCTCAGGGATGATTTCGGTGGCATCATTCTTGAAGGCCTGCCACCCTTGCACAGAGTGGAAAGCAACCTGGACCAGCAGGCACAGCAGGCAGAGGACTAGAGAGAACTTCATGGTGCCAGCTAGGGTGGGGGCAACCAAACCTTCAGCACTCACAGGCTCCAGTCCCTCTTCAGCACTTTCTCCTTTTTTAAATCCCCCCTTGCTGCTTCACCAGCCAATGGGGACACAGACAGAGAAGGGCCAGCCCCACATTTCACTTGGGGGAGGGGTGGTAGGAAGCTGAGAGGGAAGGCAAAGGGGTGTGTTCAGAGTCAACCCACCCCAACCACTTTTCTCCCCATGCTTTCCAAACTTCCAAATAGCTCCAGCCTCTTCCCAGGTGACCTGGAATGCCTGGGTGCATGAACTGCAGATCTGCAAGGAAGAGGGGTCCTTGTCAGTGCCTAGCCTTTAGAAACAGCTATTTTTCAGTTATTCGAAAGCTGCTTCCCTATTCAGACTGATGACCTCTCTGGACCTCTTCATACTTCTTGAAACAAACTAGAGCCCAGTTTAATAAGCAAACTTCTAAGCCTCCTTGAGGAAGACTTGGACTCAGGCAGTCCCTCTTTCCCAGTGTATGTAAGTTCAGAGAGCTGTCATCAGCAAATTCAAATCACTTACGGGGTGTGCATCTGCCCCCCTTATACTTGTAACTTGTACTCCCTTTGAAAGAAGAAAGAAAGGAACTCAGTGATATCAGTCACAAGCCCTGAAAACTCGGGGCTTTAAAACAGTACTGATAGATGGTCTAATAGAAGACAGTGCAGGGCTTGGAGTCAGAAAAACCTAAATTCAAATTCTGCCTCAGACACTTCCTAGCTCTGTGACTCTGGGTAAGTCACTTAACCTCTGTCTGCCTCAGCTTTCTCATTTGTAAAATGGGGATTATAATAAGGGCACCTACTTTACAGGGTTCTCATGAAGAACAAATGAGTTAAATTGTGAGTTTGTAAGCCTTCAAGTGCTTTGTATAGCATATAAACGCTCATTATTAGTGTTATTATTACCCCAGAACCAGTGGGGAGCCCCAATTCAAAACATTTCTCTATCTTAATCAGGCAGGAATGAGGAAACTATAGGGCACTACTGACTGACTGCTCTCCAGCATGAGAAGTGATATCTCAGAAATGTTCCTGGTTTTCATCTAGAGCAGTGTGGTGAAACCTATGCAACCCTTCTCTGAATAGTATTTTTAAATATATAAAATAAAATGCATGAGATTACAAAGAAATCTTATTATGTTGAAATATAGTTATTAAAATATTAAAAAGTTACAAGTTCAGAGACCCTCCTACCCCCTACAAGGCCCATGGATCCCAGGTTAAGAATCTCATATTTATAAGCTAGATAAAAGTCATATATACCAATCTTTGACATGAGGTCCAAGACAAGGATTATAGTTCTTGGACACCTCAAACTCCTTCCATGAATAGGAAGCAACTTGCCCAGGCAGGAAAAGAGTTGGATTTGGAATCAGAGTTGGATTCAAATTCCAACACCACTATTCCTACATGTAACCTCTCCAAGCTTCAGTTTCCTTATCTGTAAAATTACAAAAGTGACCTCCAAGATTTTTTTTCCAGCTCTGAGTGTGATCCTATGATTTCCCCACACAACCAGTACCTCAGAGAATAAAATGTCTAGGACAAAAGTTCTTTCCAGACTAGAAGAAGATTCCCACCATATAATCAAAGCTGGCATTTATATTATCATTCTAAGGCTTGCAAAATGTGTTTACATTCATTATTTTGTTGGGACTTCACAACCATGTGGTAGGTTTGGTTATTATCCCATTTCACAGATGAGGAAACTGAAGTATTTAACCAGCTTCCTCAGGTCACACAGCCAGTTAAGTCTGAGGTCAGCTTTAAACTAAAAGTTATTCCAACTCCCTAGGAAGTCAAATGCAAATGACACCAGAAAGTTTTGTTTTCAGACCACATTTTCTAAAGGAGAAGAGGAAATAAGTCCGTTTACTCAGCCAGGAACATGACTAACGTTTTCTATTGACAAGATTTTTTTCTCAGTCTCCCCTTCCGGTCCAGGCTCTTTTTTCTCATTTCCATGTCATTGTATACCTGTGGCTGATCCATTTCCCTTAGCTCCTCCTCCAGGCTGAATCCACCTCCACCAGCACCCCCCCCCCAAAATGAAGAATGAGTTTGTAACTGGATACTGAAGCACCAGAAGGACTGGGAACAGAGAAGATGGTTTCAGACTGCTCACCACCTCCCAAGGCAAAGAATCTCATGCAGTACAGCATGGAGGGTATTTACTTGGGGAGGGTGTGTATAACTTCCCACCCCAGCCCAAATTCATCCATTGCATCCTTTGCCACCTGCCTCAACTTGCAGTCGCTCGGTCCAAAGTGCCCTCTGCCTCTGTCCCTCCTCCTCCAGATCAATCACTTACGGTGCTTGAATGCTGCTTCCCTGACAGTTTTACTAGACAGACAGAAGGCCCCTCGGGAAGGAGTTTCTCCCATACCTGTTTCCCCAGCTAGTTTCCTGCAGGGAAGGTGAAAACAGCTGTTGCTATTGTTGGGGGAAGGGGAAGGAAAAGGGGAAGGAAAGATATATCTCCCCCTGGTAGAGAAGCTTTACAGAGCCTACCGTGCCCCCTACTCCCACTGCTCTTTACCCCTGACTCTCAAATAGAAATGGAGCCCATCTGAAAGTCAGAGGATCTGGATTCAAATCCCACCTCCATCCTCTTTGTGTGATCTTGTACAGACTAAGTAACTTCTCTGTGCTTTTCGTCTATGAAAAGGAGAAGATTGGACTGGACTATATGATAATAATAACAGCTGGAATTTATATATTACCTCTCATTTGAAATTCTACCACTAGAACTTCACTTGTGTGGATTGAGAAATCACCTTCAATGAAAATTCAAGCGGCCCCAGGAAGGGCAAAATATTAAGCCATAGAACATCATTATTAACATTTTCCTGTGAATTAATTTTAAAGATCTAGTATTCAACTAGATATTTCTCTCTCTCCCTTTGTGTATGGGTGTCTACACACACATACACATATATAATGCTTTGCAAATCTGAAAGCATTTTATGCATGTATGTGTGTATGTATATACATATGAAGGAGAGAGAGAGAGAGAGAGAGAGAGAGAGAGAGAGAGAGAGAATCATTGATCCTCATAACAACCCAGGAACATGGTGCTTTTATTATTTCCATTTTGCAGATGAGGAAACTGAGCCTGAAAACAGCTAAGAGACTTGCCTACACACAGCTAATAATTGGCTGCAGTAGGTAGGATCTGAACTTAACGATTCCAAGTCCAGCACTCTATTTACCACACTACCCAGTGGCCACTGAGTGCCATTAGATCATATGTGAATTCCCTTCCAGCTCTAAGTTCCTATGAAGCACCTTCAGCCTTCCTTACCTTTGCCTCAGGACTATGTCATGTTAACTCTATCATGTCCGAAACAACTCCAGTGTTTTGATTTTTTTTTTTAAATCCTTCCTATGATCCCCAGGTCCACTTGTCTGGGATAGCAAGGATAAGTGACCAGAGCTCTCCCTACCTTAGCCTCTACCAAATGGGTATTGGAGGCCAAGGAAAGTTATCACTTGGACACTCCTGCCACCTTGTGGGAAAAGGAGATCAGCAAAGTCTCTAGATAAGAGAGCCACAGCTACACAGATATGGTAAACTACCACCTTTCTTCCAATAGAACTCAGGGAAAATCTGGAGGTTGGCAGGCAGAATCACCCTTACGTGTAGCTAGAAGAGCTAGCCCCCTGTGTTGAGGGGCCCTAGTGTTGCCCTTCTGCCCCCACATACCGCTCATATTTGAATGAGAATCTACCATGAATCTAATGCATTTACCGTTAGAGCTTCATTTGTTTGAATTAAGAAATTGCCTTCAATGAAAAATGCAAGTAGCCCCAGGAAAGGCAAAATATTAAGTCACTGAAAGTGACTTTTTTAAAAAAAGAAATATTTATTCAGTGTCATGATCATACTATTACATTTAGTGATCAACAGCATGGGTGCAAAAAAAAATTGACATTGAACCTTTTGTTGAAATATTTTACACATTCCACAGAACAGAAACTAAAATAACCCATTATGTAAATTAGTCACAAACACAGTTCTGGTGGTTTTT